ACATATAAATACACACACACACACACACACACACATATATATATATATACATATATATATATATTTTTCTGACTATTATTTCCCATGCCAGGCTTTACAAAGTTACATTTTCAGAGTTAAAAGTTTAAAATGTCTCAATTTCTTATATATTTTCCTGAAGTCTGATGACCTCTGACCCCTCACCCGCTCATGAAACTCGGTGATAAGCCAGAACTCCGTCTCCAGGTTGCTTCCGCGTTTCTCGGCAGCGATGAAGCGCAGCAGGTTCTCGTGCTTCATGCCCGGCGTGGAGAACATGTCGCGCTCGTTCTGCCACGACTGCTTGTCCTGTCGATACACCACACACAGCTTTACAGACCACACACATACCGACTGAACCCTGAGCTGGCTTGTGTCTGTATCGTCTACCTGAATGGGGAAGATCTTCACGGCTACATAATCATTCATCATCTGAGCTTTCCAGACGCAGCCGAAGCGTCCTCGAGCTTTAACCTCCAGCAGCTGAAGAGGCTTCAGACCCAGCAGCGGCGAGGGAGGAGACGCACTCGGATCCTGGAAACACAGCAGAAAAACCCCATCCGTGATGCCCTTTAACCCTTGTACGGTGCTCGGGTCTGTGGGACCCATTTCAGCTTTTATCAAAAGAAAAATTACAATTAATTATCTTTTCAAACTTAGACTCATCGGACTTGTGAAGAACATATGAATAGTTTATTTGCAAAAACAGATGAAATTGTGATAATGCACAATGAAAAAAACATGATTTTTTAAATTATCTGCTTTTTTTATTCAGTTTTCAGATGATGCATAAATCTCAATTTCGAAAAATTGACCCTTATGACATTTTTTGTGGCCCAGGGTCACATATATCCGAATATATACATATATATCTGTGTGTGTGTGTTTGTTTGAGTGTGTGTGTTTGTTTGTGTGTGTGTGTGAGAGAGAGAGTGTGTGTGTGTGTGTGAGTGTGAGTTTGTTTGAGTGTGCGTGTGTGTGTTTGTTTGAGAGTATGTGTGTGTGTGTGTGAGAGAGAGAGAGTGTGTCGGTGAGAGTATGAGTCTTAAAGGGTTAGTTTACCCAAAAATGAAAGCCCAAAAATTAGCCCATAAATTACTCACCCTCAAGTCATCCTAGATGT